AATGTCTACACTTCAAAAAATTCGGAAAATGTGACCTTGAGAAATAAATCTTTTCTACCTAAATAGTTCTTTCTCCTGAAGCAAACATTTCATTCCCTAGGCAATTATTAAATGAGCCGTTTATTTTGAAAGTGGCATAAGTCACTTTTTCAAAAAAATCGAGTTAATGGTAACACTAATTACAATTGAACGGTATCTTTTCATTTAAAAAAAAAGAAAAAAAAAGTGACTTATGCCACTTTCAAAATAAACGGCTCAAATACAACGGAGATATTTTAGGTTTAATCGTTATCTAACTCAAGCTTTACATATGTACAATAAAATACAGTAATGATTTATGTAATGTATCGTTGATTTAATAATACAAGTTCAAGATCAAAAGTGCACCAACTCTTCAAAGTTCATAATTAGAATTGATTTTGAAAGTTGATTTTTTTTGCGAAACTTGGGAATTACGCAGAAAAATAGTTTGCAAATTTATATTTTATCGCATCAAAATCAAAAAAAAGAAACGAAAGAAAGTTAAAATTTATTAGATAATGTTATTGTTGCAAGCACTCGTGTGATAATATTTACTCCGATTGTCGAACACTTTGCACGTTCGTTCCACTGTAAACAGAACGAAAGATTGACACGTTGCAAGTGGAAAGTAAATTTTTTTCGATCTTCGTGTACACGATATAAAAGCTTGACATGTTCGTTAAAATGTTTGCGCAACGTGACAAACTGTTTGACTTTTTCAGAGCACGACAGGAGAAAATGAACGAGAGACAGCCATCTTACAAATTGATCTACTTCAACGCTCGCGGCCGTGCCGAACATATCCGGTACATATTTGCGTACGCCGGCATCGACTACGTTGACGAGAGGATCCCCAAGGAACATTGGTCGGATCTGAAGAAATGTAAGCGAACAAATTCGATTTTACTCAACATTTTGTATCACGGCACTTGAAGATTCTGTAAAGTAATCGGAGCACGCTAGCAACGACACAGGGAGAGAAACATAAATAACATCGAAGTGTGTGCAAAAACCCAGAGAATCCACGAGTCAAAATTATATTCAATAAAGGGAAATAAAATTACTTTTGACGATCCACATTTTTGCTATTCATGTTCTTTCATTTACTGTACATTACTGTAATTCCTTTATCTCGTGCCCTTTGCATACGTTTATTGCATTCTCTGAATTTATGTTAATTACATTTCTTGCGTATCGTGAAGGTAAACAAATCACATACGTCGAAGCAACGTATTAGCTACAGTAACTAGTACGCTACAGATTTTTATGCAAATTCTCATTTTTACGAATTCTTTTGTTAAAGTCTGAAAAGAAAAAGAAAATATAATAATATAATATAATTATTATTATAATATAATAAAATACAATATAATTGCAAAGGACATATAAGGCATAAAAATCCGTGTTCTAGTATACCTAATTGATATGTATCGAAATGTGTACCTTACATCGTATTGCCGTTTTAAAGGCACTATATATAAGTATGAATTATTACATGTATAGTGATCCTCGGAAAAATTGAAACTCCTTTTAAGCTGTCGTGAATATTAAGGAGTACGTGATGGCAAATCGGAAAAATGATAGCAGCGGCGTTCCATTAGTAGGACGCGTTGATTAAAACCGGCGTGATTCGGCCTACTATTCAGAAATAGACGTTCCGTGTACATATCACGGTCTCGAAGGCCGCGCAATTTTGTATCGATCGAAGCTGTGGTTCCGCATCGAACTGTATTTTGTTCTTAGCGATGCCTTATGGAATGCTACCGGTGCTGGAGATAGACGGGAAACTGATAGCACAGAGCAACGCGGTTGCGAGATACTTGGCGAGGAAACACAATCTAACTGGAAGGGATGAATGGGAGGAGATGCAGTGCGATGTTCTTGTCGATACCCTCGGAGATCTCAAGCAAAGTGAGTGAACTATTCCGAAATTCTTCAATAGTAATCGACAGTAGGCAATCGCGCGGTAAATTGAAACAAAATTACATCGAACTCATGATATTCATGAATATTCGTAAAAAGAGACGAATTCTTTCTCTCTGACTAAAAGATTTGTTAGAAGAGGAAGTAAAAATATTATTAATTTTTATTGACATACATGATTTTAAGTATTTTGAAAATTTGGACACACAACCGTTAGGTTCTCATTGTTAGTAATGCATCTAGATATTTACAAATGAGAGGAATTCTACATACAGTGGTCCACAAAAGTGTTCGCCCACGCAATAACATTTTTAAAACTAGACTAAAACGCGAATTTTTTTTACATGATAGGGGGACTATTTTACTAGACAATGATTACAATGTTTTCTTTAATTTTGGAATGACGAAAAGAAATAAAAAAAACTCTCGTTTTTGTTGTATCTTATCAAAATCGGTTGATGTTAATATATTAATGATCGCAAAAATCGCAGTTTCGTCACGATTTTTGATGCTCTGGGTTAACCGATTTCAAACAAATTTTCAGCTGCATATAAGTCACAGATATCTACAAAACGCATCCCTTAAATTTTCGTTAGAGGCTCAGATAAAAAAGTTAAAGAAACGAGAGTTTCTTTTCTTTGTTGTCATTCCAAGTAATAGTAAAATTAAAGAAAAACATTTTAGACACTGTTTAGTAGACAAGTTCCTCTGTCATCTAAGAAAAATTTAAGTCATTTAGTCCAGTTTTAAAAAGGTCATAAGTTCTAACTGGACGGTCTAAAAGCTGGACGAACACTTTTGTGGGCGACTGTACACGTGTATCTATAAATATGATATTAAGCTTTATATAGTTACAGGATATTGAACCACAAAACTTAAAGTTTATTATAGATTTATAAATTCAGGGAAACTTGTGAAATATGATCAACGAGATGAACATATTCAACTTTCATTCAGATTATTCATTGTTTTTCTACATTTTATGTCATGCATGCATAAAATTGTGTAAACAATGGATCTTAGAAGAATAAGACAATTTCTCGCGTACAAAAACTGTGATGTCTGCGAGATGAAGGTGAGAAGTTTTTTCTAATTCATTGACAAATGTAGACAACTATAATATTTAAAAAAGGTCCTGTATCTCTTCTTGTATTCCAAAGATGTGTGAATATATGCGAAAATAGCCTGCATTAACAACCAACAACCAGACATACTTAAAATAACGTGTTAATACATAAGCAAGTTACATTTATCAATATACATATATATATATTGATAAATGTAACTTGTTTATGTATTAATACGTTATTTTAAGTATACATATATATATATATCAATATACATCAATATATATAAGTATTAAATCTATCGAGTTTTCATATGTTTATATTTATATAAAATTACTTATTTGCATTCCTTTTTGAAATTAGTATAAATTATTATAGATTGTACAACTTGTGGCAAAAAGTTTCCGGTCAAACAGGTTGATACAAAATTTTCTTATGTCTTTTCTTATAATGTCCCCAAACACGACAGCTTTTTGTAAAATTTTCTATCAACCTGTTTGATCGAAAACTTTTTGCCACAGGTTGTATACGTTAAATATTCTGAATCTTCAGATCTTTAAACAGATCTGCATTTCATTGATCAATATTGTACTAATGCCAATATCCCAATATTTTCACTAATGCCTACAACAAGTCTGGATTTATCTTGATTGCTAATAAACTCTAGACAACTACAATGTTTATTATAAGTTTTGGACTGAATTACAAAATTTTCATTTATGCCTAGAATGGAAGTATTAATATCGAAACTAATAAAAAAAGTCAGATATAAATCTGCTTCGCTGCACAATCAGTAATATTTAATTAATATATGAAGTTATAGCAGCAGGAATAAAAATAAACGCACGGTGAATAAAAATCGAGCGCTGTTTAAGATGAAAAACTTTCTGTCTCTTTCATTTGAATTTCTTTTTCTGCGAACAGTCTTGCTTACTTCTGATTCAGTAAAGGGAAGGTATAAATGACACCGGTGCCTGACATAAAGAGAGATATTGCACCGGAATACACTCGTATCAGAAAACATTATAGGACCATTTCCGGGCGAAACCGTTATGTTGCAGTGCAATAAAAAGAACTAGGTTAGGGCTAAGTTTTATTCCAATAACTACGCAGCCGTATTAATTATGCTCTCCCATATCTTCTCTTTAGTTCCTCTGGATGGAAGAAGACGAAGAAACTAATTAACACCATGATCGTCGTAATTGTCATAAACGAAGCATTACTGAAATCTATTTCTCCAAGTTTCTATAAGACTTCCTTACTCTTATTGTTAGCTATATAATTATTTACATTGACTTATATTATTTACATTGACCTCAAGGAAATAAATAAAAAAATATGTAAAAAGAAGTTATGCAAAATTAATGTTGAGCCCTTATTTTCCGGTAATTTCATATTAATAGATGCTTGATTCGTGTGATCGGATACTTAATGACGCGAATAGTATCGTGTATACTTTCGTCAGTTACATATTTTATTGACGCCATTAGCACCAGCCATCTGCGATTAGAATCGAAATAACGACGATATTGTTCATTGAGTCGCTAGCCGGCGCGGGAAGATCCTATGCCCAATAGAGCACTAATTTCCAATTGCGATGTGCGTGATTACATAACACTACGGCTGTTTACACGACGCGTTAACGATCCGAGCGTACATCGCATAAATTGACCAGAACGGAATTAGTACGAACACGTGCCCGCAATTTGGCTTCGTCTTTTTTTTCGTCGTTCGCATAGGAAATAGGAAATTCATGCTGTGATTGATAATACCGCGAGTGGAAGACTCGTAGGAACGAGTCTTAGTGGAAGACTGGGAGGAACGTCGATCAAGTAACGTTATTATCAGTGATATCGTTTTTTCTGTGTGCTAAGAAGAAAAATAATTAGCGTCGGTATCATTTACGATTGAAACGGTTGCCCGTGCCGAATGGTAGTTGATTTTTCTTAGATCCGCTTTATTACTCCGATAATTTACCTAGTTCGGCGCATTTGAATGCTGGGAGATCCAGATTTTTTTGTATTCTTTCGCAATAACGTTCATCTTTTAACGGTCTGAACAATTATGTCGATTGCCATAAAAATCATGGACAAAGGAATTTTTATTCGTTATTGTAGTATTTTTATAAATGAATTTCGTGACACGGAAATAATTGCAATTGCGAGAAGATACCGATAAATCTGCAAAATGTATGCCAGAAGAGGTTGGGTATGATAGCGAAACAGATCGTATTTGTAATGCAAATTGGTACATTAATTTGCATTGCTTATGAAGTAGGTTAATACTTCTAAATTTAAATGTTTTATACAAAATAGCGATGAATTTTGTTAAAAGAAAGGGTTTGAAATAAGTCCACTTTTATACGAGTTTATAATGTTGTTTTGTTACATAGATTTTGTTAGATAAAAACAGTTCGCCAATAATTCACAATTGTTGAAGATCGATAATCTATAAAAATAAATCATAAACTAAATATTACATGATAAAGCATAAGAGTGAACGTTTTATTCTAGAAAATAAATCTTAAAACGTGGAAAACCTCAACAGTAAATATGAAACATTTCGTTACTTAATAATCTGATTCGTTTCTTGCTGACAAATTTGTTAAAATCTTCTCACTTTTACGATTACTCTGCGTAACTAAAGTTATGCTACGAAACTAAAGTATAGTGTACTTATACGTGAAAATTACTCGAACAGTTTCCGAAACATGATTTGTGTCAACAATATAACTCACACGAAGAAAGCTTAGGAAAAACGTCGAAGATAAAAACTTTTCTGGTTATGATTTTTTGTAACAATAATTGTAACCCGTGGTCTGTCGTAATTCGTTTCAGTAATATCTCAGTACCGTACCGAGGACGATCATTTCAAGAAAGAAGAAAAGAAGGCGAAACTTCTGAGAGAAACGATACCGTTTTACTTGAACAAGTTTGAGCAAACTGTTGGTGAGAATGGAGGCTACACCGTCGGATCTACCGTAAGTCGCCGTTCCAGTTGATTTGATATTAAAATTTTAGTATCTACGAGGAAACTTTTGCCGGTGCTGAATGAAAAGTAAAGATGAACTGTACTGCCTATCTGACACTAAGCTTCTAGTATATTATGCACAATCAAACAGTAATGTAGACATTGCTATTTCGCAGATTTAACTGAGAATTAAGAGCTTTGAGAGTAATTGAGACTATTCAACTGTCGAAATCGATTTCTAAGCTTCGAAAGTGTAGATAATGTTCAAAATTAGTTTTCTTATCAATTAAATCCGAGTATGCAATCACGAAAACATTGAGACATAATAACGTTAACCGTTTTCGATGAAATTTTATTTGCATGCATCTAGAAATAGCAATATTTAAAGTTTTATTATTCATGCAAATAAAAAAGTTAAAAGATATGAGTTTTCTTTATTTATATATTTTGGCAATTTTAATTTTTTTAGCACTTTTAATTTTTGCAAATATTTTTTTAACGATCGTTTAGTAAACTAGACTCTTTAACATTTCAAAAAAGTGCAAGTCATTTGGTCCAATGTTTTAAAATTTGTTCCATGTTAAAAAGTGTCCGAATATTTTCGTGACTAACTGTAGATAGACATTGGTTGACGTAAGTATTCGATCTTTTAAAACGTTTTCAAAACTTTACAAAAATATTTTTTGTATTTATCTGCTGAAGTAAATAAATATGAGAAATATTGTGATTCTTCCGGAGCTTATGTAAAATCGAGAAAAATATTAAATATCATCCCTCGACATTTTAGTTTTTTAATATGTATGAAGGTTATTATATGCATGCCACGTATTAAAACTTTTAATATTCAGTAGTAGAATTTTACAAAATATTTATTCTAACGAATTATCGTTTTTCAGACCACGTGGACGGACTTCGTGTTTGCTGTAGCTCTCGAGAATTTCGAAAATATATTCGGCGGAAACGCATTAGAAAATTTTCCTGGACTACGGGCGTTGAAGAAAAGAGTCCACGAGATACCTGCGATCACTAATTGGCTGACGAAACGACCTCATACGGAGTTTTAGATATTATATGTTTGTTTTTTAAAAGAATGAGTACATATCTACACTATCTGTGTGTGTGCTTGGTCGCATATAATTAAACGTTTGTTAACAGTAAGAATTGTCAGTGTCACCATGTGTTCTATCGGTGTGCAAAATGTTGTGTAAAAATAATGCATAGCTATGGCGGTCCGTGTGTTAAATATGCATCGAATTAAGCGAACGAGAGACTTAATTCATCTTTATTTAACCTACGGGTTAGATTTCCATATTTTTTATTAAATAGATCCCTATTTCACACGCTTAAAACGTTTCGAAGGAAAACTTCTTGTCAGCTCCATCAAAGCCTTGATGTTATCATATGATCAAACAAAAGTGTTCCTTTGATTTTATCATTACCACTTTAAATGCTCGCTCGATTTATTTACATGTTTTTGGATATTATCCAAATTGTATCATAATCATATTTCTCTGAGATAAAACAAACTCTGACTTTGATTATATGTACGAATATGTTTAGTAGACAATATTTGTCGCAAATATTGATCCCAAATATTAAACAATGTTAGTTAATGCGTTCGTTGATTATGTTCATTTCTATGATTATGGGTATAAAAGAGTATTATTACTCTAGCAAGGACGAATTAAATGTCATTTTCATTAATATAAATACATGAGGCATCACATTAGTCCAAATTAAAATACAAACATTGGTGAGAGAAATAGAAACCAGAAATAATACAAACTGTATATAATTTAAAATAGGTT